CCTGAACTTTGAACCAGTCATGCAGTTTATAGTCCGGTGTGGTTTATAGTACATGGATTTTTTTTCTTCAGCCACCAGGGGGCTCTTATGCTGCATTTGTTTCAACCACTTACTTCAAAACAAGAAAGGAAAAAAAAGGAAGAAAAAAGCGATCGCTTCCAGAGCCGGCTGTTGTACCAGGAAGCAGCGATTTAAAGATAGTCAATTGCCAAAAACTCGTAAAAGAGGATAAAACAGACATTTTTTCATGGTGGAATCTGACTGATAAAAACTTTGGAGCTTAATCCGGGACCAGTTTGTGGATAAACGTCGAGTGAAGAGCCAGGGAATTTTTTCCCCACATTGCACTCCCTGGGGAAGGAATCCCATGCAGTGACATATGCTGGAGAGGGAGGGGTTTCCCAGCAGCTAGGCTTGGGATTTCTCGGGGGAACTATGAAAGGTCAGTGTGAAAACGAACGCCGAACAACCATGTGATGGCACGTCGACCGGTCGACAGCCGAGCGACCAAACTGACAGCTTAGCTGGAGGAGTAGCGCCATTTTGTTTTAGCTAGTAGCAGACACAACATGACGGATCTTCGACAGACACAATATTGGACTGACGGATTCGGTGAAAGCAGCCATCAAGAAAACAAACTCAATTCCTGCTGTTATTCCTAGAGGTAAAACAAAGTTTTTGCAGCCCCTGGACATCAGTGTGAAGCTTGCATTTAAAGCAGCACTCAGGGCTAAATGGGAGGCTTAGATGACTGACGGAAATAAATCATTCACAAAAACTGGCTGAATGCGAAGAGCGTCTTTCCTGATGTCTTCTAGTGGATCCTAACAGCGTGGAGCAGAGTGAATGTGTCCACCATCACCAATGGTTTCCTAAGGGCTGGACTGCTACGTGAAGAGGGCAACACAGCTTCAGAGCCAGCATTACCCCGGGAGGACAGCGACACAGAAAGCAACACTGAACAGATACCGCTGTGTGACGCAGCTTTTCTAAGCTTGTTTAACTCCGACACTGAAGAGGAGGACTTCGATGGTTTCAGT